TAGAGATAGAGATAGAGATAGATAGAGAGAGAGAGAGAGAGCGCGAGCGAGAGAGAGAGAACTCAGGTACTCACTTAGAAAGGGCTGTCAATAGGAGATTCTTCTGCACTTCCCACAAGTCTCACTGTACCACAAGTACTTCCTAGATTTCCCTTCCTCTCTGTTCTTGATAGAATAGTTTTATTTAGTAAGTATTTGGATTGAAAATCACCTTCATCTCTAATGTCTTCTGCCTGTTTCTGCCTGGATCCTTGCCTCTGGGTCATGATGAGACACCGATTCTTTATCCTCGGCTTGTTTTCTTGGGGACTCAGTAGGGTAGAGACAGTGAGGCCCCAGGAATGAACTGACTGAGAAGGAATTTATAGTCTTGGGTCAAATACTCATTCTTTTTCTGGGACCTTATGAGAATCACTAACCTTCTGTTCTCTGCTATAGAATCATGTCCATTCCTTAAAACCATGTTGAAAGCTCCCAGGGCGAAGTGAGGAGACTTTCTGCAGGGGTCCCCAAACAGCTAACTCACCTTGGTGGACCTTCTGGGGGGGTGGGACAGATGTTAGTCATTCCACCTCACAGACAGGACAATGGAAGCTGAAGGGGAAGGACAACAGGGACAACTGCCAAAGCTCAGCCTCCCCCTTATCTCTAGCTCATCTTTTCTTCCCCTGTGTTTACCTCACAAGTCCTTTCTTCTCAGATCTCTGAGCACAGGAGTGCCAAGGCATTTGGTCCATTGTCATCTGGGTTTGCAACACCATCCCACACCCACTGTCAAATGGTGGGGGTAGAGTGGGGTGGGCGCTGGTACATTGGTAAGGCTAGTTCAGGATGAGAGAAGGGAAGGAGAAAATTCTCTCAGAGGCTAGATTCTCATCCTCCACAGTTCACCAGAAGGGAATGAGGTGACCCCAGCCCTTTTCCTCTCTTCCCCAGCAAACATGTTTTGGCCCCAGACAGAGCTTCTGCTTCTTGGACTAGACCAACCCACCTTCGGGGGGCTTAGCTCCCCTGTAGCTCCTTTTGCCAGTGCCACCTCCATAATCTTGTCATCTTCCTTACTGCTGCCACTCTCTTGTGTTCTCTGTCCCTGTTTCTTTGTGTTGGTCCTCAGTCTTCCCACTACCATCTTTGGATAGAAACTTACTAGAAAGACCCAGGTTTAATTCTGTCACTTGCTAGGTATGGGATCTCGGGAAAATCAGTAAACATTCTTTCTCATTACCAGCTTCAATTTCCTCATCTGCAAAGCGGGATGCTGGCATCTACCCTCACAGAATTGTTGTGAAGGCCAAATGCATTTGTTTGAGGGTGCCCTTCCAGATACAAGTTGGCACTGTTATCCACTCTGCCATGGAATTCATGCATTAGGAGAAAAGCCCCTTGAGGACAGAATTGTTTCTTTGTGTTTCTGAGCCCAGGGTCTGACCCAAGTGTGCTCTATAGATGTTGGTTAGGTGACTACCAGCCAGGTCAGAGAAGAGGACGAGAGACAGAACAGAGCAAGGCAGCTGAAGGTGTCAGAAGAGAGAATGCTGAGAGGGAAGTTGGAAAGAAGGGAATGTGAGAAGCTGAAGAAGATGGGGTGGAGAAGGGAGAGTGGTGAGGGAGAGGTCTGCCCTGAGGAAGTCTACACAAAAATGCAGGGTGTGGAAACAGATGAGAGAGAAATTGGAAGAGTGGAACCACGCACACATCTTTTAAAATTCAGCCCTTAGAGATCATCCGGCCCAAACGTTTCCTCTATGAGGAGAAAAATAAAGGTCCAGGTGGGGAAACACTTGCCCAATAATCTGCAGAGAGTTCATGGCACAGACTGAAGTTAGACAGGCCTGAGTTTGATTCCTGCTTTGAAGCTATGTGACCCTGAGTGAGTTAGTTTCTCATTCTGAGCCACATTTGCCTTATTGATAAAAATAGGGATTGTAAGAATGAAATGAAATGAGGTACATGAAGTTTGGGGTACATATACCTGGGTATGGGGAAGAGGCTGCATGAATGTGACTGCCTATTCCCTCGACTTCCTCCTGAACCTATTAGCTTTGTCCTCCCCTGAATTTGAAGCTATGCTATGACCAGTGTGGTCAAGTCACAGGGTTAGCTGCATGGATGCTTGGGGGTTGTCAGTTATAGACTTGGAGACTTTTGAGATGTGGGTTGGGTATATCCTTAACCACTCAGTTGAGAACAGAAAAAAAACTGTCATTAGCTTCCAAAATGAAGGAAAAGTAACAACAGGTAGGGAGGTAAAAGGGGTGACAGAAAAGCTGAGAGTTCAGAAATCTAGAAACAGCTTGACTCCAGTCCTCTAGAGGATGTGTTAAGAGCACTGGACAGGGGATTGGGAGCCCCCTCTGATCCCTAGGGCTGTCACATTCTGAGGCCTTTGGCAGTTTATCCTCCATCTATGCCTCGACTTCTTCATAGGCAGAAAGAAAGAGAAAAATGACCTGCCTTGCAGGTCTCTACCAACCAGGAGGTCTGTGCTGGACCTGAGAAGGCCCTCCTTTGCAGTCTGGGCCAGTGTGGATGGGGAAAGTCACCTCCTTTTCCCAGCTCCCACCCCTTGTGCCTCTTGGGGATTTCACACAATACAGAGGGTGCTCTCAAGGAGCTGGGGCTTTCTAGGTCACCTTTGTTTATAGTTCCTTTAAACCCAGAGACAAACCAACCCTTAATTCATGCACTGCTGGGAAGGGGAATCTGCCTTTTAAAAATCCAAAGGAAGCCATTAAACCAAGTTGGTAACCATTGTGACTCATAATAAGCTCTCCTCTGTAAAAAATGAGTCAGAATGACTTTCCAGGAAGTTTGGTTACTTTAATTAGCTACCTCTTTTTTCTTGCCCTTAAAAACATACAGTAATTTGATGATCACCTAAGTATAGATACTACCAGCCACTGAGCTGAGCTCCTAGACGTGAAAGACCAGGGGTAGAGAAGTTCCAGACAGCATGGATTTCATGGTCTCCTTATATAGTCAAGGAGCCACACAGAATCCTTTCCTGAATAGTGAAAAGAGAAAAAAAAAATCAACCTCTGGGGCTGACCCACTTGGCCTGAGTGAAAAGGAGAAGGGTACCTTAGCTACCTGCAGCCCCAAAGCACTAAGCAGTGTATTTTGTATATTACAGAATCACAGAATCTTAATGATGCCATTAGAGGTAATGATGATCACAACTGCCATGTGCCAAGCATTGTGTTAAGGCCTTTAAATATAATCCCAGCTAACTCTCAACCCACTCTTGAAGATGGGCAGTACCAGTAATTGTCCCCCTTTATAGAAGAGGCAAGGTTAAATTACCTTACCAAATCACGCAACCAGGAAGCAACAGAGCTGTGATTTTTATCCCAGGTTTGTTTGATTCTAATTCGACTCTTCAAAAGTCATCTGTTCCTGCCTCCTAAAGAGGCAGTAACCCTGGATTCTTTCTCCTTCAACTTAGTCTGTACGTAACTCCTACAGTTCCAGATAGAAGGCCAGGACTTGCTTAGATTGTTGATAACACCTTAACATTCCTAACTCCCACCCAGATCTGAATTCCCTTCCTCTCCTGGTTCGCCTTTTAGGGTTCTATGTAGCTCCTTCTCATTCCCAACATGATTACCCTGACTTGGTCAAGTAACTAATAACAGAGCACAAGTGCCAGCCTGCTAAGTGTGGTCTTCTTCCACATGGATACTCTCTTAGCTGTGTCTCCATGTACCTGGGCAATATATCTGGCCCCAGTGTACAGAGTTGGCTCCAGCCAGCCTGCTACCAGGAAAGGGTGACCCAACTTCTGAATCATGGCTTCTGGACTCTGATTTTTCTCTGGGGTGGAATGTCAAAGCTGAGGCTGTACCTATCAGTCTCCAGCTGTACTGATTTTAAAGCCTTGCTGGAGTTCATGAGGTTGGTGAGAATTTTCTTCTCAACTGGGAAGAACAGGTGTCCCATTCCACAGATCTTAGGAAAACATATTCAGCTAATAAATTGATTGCAAAATGGGTGCAACTGTCCATACTCTCCTAGTCCAGCTGTCTGTATACATAAAGCAAAATACAAAGCCTGTTGCCTTAGCTGTGCAAATAGACACTGTTCTAATATTAAATTGGAGACAGAAAAGTTTACAGTAAATGCATCCTGCAGATGCCTCCCCACAAGACCCCAATTATTTTGTTCCTTATCCCAAGTCTTGTAGCTTCAAGAATAAAACCAGACTGCATCTGAAGCCCTGGGAAAATATTTTAGCTCTGGGGGATATCGATTCTCTTCCACTTCTAATTTCTGTGTCTCCAGTGATCCAGATGAAAGAATAATTGAGGTCTTGTTAAGATGCTATTAAAGTTATTTGGTGATGTTACAATTTATACTCATCTTCTTTAAGTTCTTTTTAATTATATGGAGATTTCAAAGCAAAGCTTGGACTATGGAGTTAAAAGCAGAAAGATATGAAAGTTTTTTTCAATTCTTCCCTATCCTCTTTCTCTTCTTCACAAAGCATAGTCATCTCCAGGCACCAACTCTTCCTCTCTGAGTCTATTTACCACCCACATGCCCATAATTTGGAAGAGGAACACTTGCACTCAGGCCTCTTTGGTTAGTTTTTTGAGTAGGGCTCTGAGAAATCTGGAGCTAAAAGGCTCTAGTCCCCATCTACTAAAGACAGTCAGTCTTTAGCAGCTGCACACACAGCCTGTTGCTACTAGGGGTGTTGTTGGAATGGCACATCAGTAAGCAAATCTCCTCCCTCTTTTTGTTTTGTTTTTAAGGATCTGGCCCTTTCCTAGCCTAGTTCCAGAGGTTTTATTCCACTGAATACTAATAAGTACTGTTTGAAGGTTTCAGGGTCATATATCATGTCTCTAGGGAATTCTTTCATTTCTTATGATCCAGCTTTGGGGTCTGATTGGATAAAGGACCAAACAAGAAGAGATGCCACATTGTTTGAAGAATCCCAACACCTCTCTCCCACCAGGTGCTTTCCTGTTCCATTCCCCGGAAGAGAAGACCCTTACCTGTCTCCACAAGGCTGAGAGCACTGCGAGAATCTGTAGAATCTGCTACATCTCCACTCATCTTGATATCTGCAGGGAAAACAACTGATTTTAATAACAGGTCACACTTTTTCTTGCTGTAACACATGTGCTTTTAACTAAACAGCAAAGACCAATTTGTAATTACAACCACCAGACTTTCAAATTCCTGATTCCTTAACACACACCATTAGAATATTCATAAGCTGGGGCACCCCCCCCCTCTCCCTTGCTTGCCTTCTCTCCCCTGCCTTTCTTCCCCCCTTCCCCCCATGCTACTGCAGGGTTTCTCACCTTTTGTATCATTCATTGCCATTTCCTTCTATCACCAGGCTCAGCTGGTAAAAATCTAACACTGAAAGGGGTACAGCAGGGGGTGGAGGAGAATGCTTCCCATTCTTAATCCTCATTTCTTTTTGGATTTGGGGAATTCTTTCACTTTTATAAAATAGCATAAGAAACATCTGTCTTCCCTCTCCCCCCTCCTCCATAATAATAACCCTGGAGGGTAAGAGTACCCTGAACCAAGGCTTCCCCTTCTCACGTTTCTTCTCCAATTCCTGCCTCTGTTCTTTGGTTCTCAAAGGTCAGCGCACAGTCTAGGGAATCGAGTCCTAGCTCCAGTGTGGTCCTCCTTGGAGACCTTCACCTTTGGGGATCCTCACCTTCTCTCCTGTCCTTCCAACATGCTCAGTGAAAAGGGGATGGTGGGCGGGTAGGTGCCGCAGAAAGAAAAGACTTAGGCAAGGCCAGTCTCAGCCCCCCAAGTGCTGTGGGTTAGGACACTCTGCCCTGCTTCATTTCAATAAATTAAACCTTGACCCACGACAGCTGCTACCACCTATGAGTCCCCTAAGTCTCCTCCAGAGTCAGAAGAGAGAAGGAAAGAAGCAACTTGGAACTAACTCACTCTCTTGGCTACTCTCCTTATTAAGCTACCCAAATACTGAAACCCTTAAAGACAGATGAATATTTTATTCAAATTATGTTGACCCTCACCCCCCCAACCCCACCCTCTTCTCTGGGGCAACACTTAACTCTTTCAAATCAGATAAAGTCTTGGTGAACAATTTGCATACCAGTCTCACTGGCCAATCCCAGTTAAGCAGGCAATCTTAATTTGCATGAGGTAATCAGGCTGTTGGCAGTCTGGAAGCCTGAGGTCTAGGGGTTGATGAGGATGGACGGTAGTGGGGAGGGTGGACCCCAGGAAATGCGGGGAGAAGCCTATTCATTGTTTTTTTAAGACAATGATGTGTGTGACTCTGGCAGAGACTGAAAATTGTGGCCTCTGGGGTGTAGTAACTACAGGGTGGAGGGGTGACTGCTCTCCAACCCTTAGAACACTCCAGAAGCAGGGGAGGGAGTAAGCAATCTTGAGAGCCACGGTGCTTTGAGGAATATTTTTGAGACCTGCCAAAATGACAGTAAATACTTGAAGTCCTGTACAGCCCTCCCAAGACCTCCACACTGTCCTGTAGGGTCACAGAGCTCTAGGGGAGATCCTGCAGCTACACCCCAACACCTATTGCAGTGTACTACATTTAGGAAAACATTTCTTGAGCCTAACCTAAGTCCTTCTCGGTGCAGTTTGAAACTCGCTGTAGAGTCTGTCATGCATGACTATGCAGACTAACTAGTGTGGGCCACCTGAACGCATCTGCAAAGGGCTTCTGCTGCTGCTCACCTTCATTCCAATGGAAAAATGGGCTTTGCTTCATTCCATCTCTGGAGTTGGGCATGGCCTGCTACAGACCAGCTCAGCAATCACTTTCCCATAGAGATTCTTCAGCAGTGCTGAGAAAAAGTCCGAGATTGCTGAGAAGGGGTGGGAGGAGGAGAGTTCTCCCCTTGGTGATTTTTAAAATCTGCTTCAGTAGCGCTTGGAATTAAGAGCATGGGTTTTGGTAGCAGACAGACCCAGATTTAATTCCAGTGCTATCACTGACTACCTAGGGGACCCTGGCCACATATTTGAGCCTCAGTTTTCTCAACTGAAAAAACAGGAATAATGATACTTCCCAGAGTTATCATGAGGAGCAAATGAAATATTGAATGAAAACTGCCTGATACAAAGTAAGCATGTGATAAATGGATTAACTAAACAGATACTTAGGCTCCTATATTAGTCCCCTTCTTCCATTACAACAAACAGCTTCATTTTTCTGTCTCAGCACTATTATAATTTGTCCTTTACCTGGGGAACCATCAGCATTCTCCAAATTCTGACTTCATAGGAAAAACACTCAGGGACAGGAAGAGTTCAAGAAGCAGTAAGGCTGGGATGATGACCAGATTTTCTGAATCAGCTTATTTCAAACTTGTGACATTTAAGAAGGGTAACTTTTTCACTGAATCATAATTTTATGCCTGTAACCCCAACTCTCTTCCAACACCCATACCCTGCATTTTCTTTAAATATACCCCAAAGCCATCTTACTCATCCTTTAAATGAGCTTAAAAGGTAGTCCTAATTATGTCTAAAAATAACTTTTGAAGGAGTCAAAGGCCCCACACTCTGCCAGGACATCTAATTTGAGTACCCATTATGGGGGCAACACTGTGACACTGCTGGATTGGACAGGGATTTGAATCTGAATATTCTGTAAAAGCTCTTCTGAAGTCCCATAGGATGCTACGATACTGAGAACCTGTTCCTGTTGGGTAGGAGGCTGATGGGTGGGACGAGCTCTTGGGTCTCAGCCTAAAAATGGGCCAACACCGAAACTCCACAAGATGCCATAACCCTTTGCCTGTCGGATAGCACTTGCAGGGGTGAGTGAGAGAAGCGTGGGGTGGGGCCAAGTTTCTTGGCTGTTCTTATCTCAGCCCCAGTTGAGTAGGCTCTTTGCCATCACTCCCTTCCCTGGGGAGGCTCAGCTGCTCTGTGTAAGAGGCCAGATACCAGATGCAGACCTTCATCTGCCTCACTGGCACCATCATTCTCTAAAGCTGGGGTAAGATGTTGGCAGCTGGCCTTGCCCCTCCCTGTGCCGTGGCATGACCCAGGAGCAGCCCCTCCTTACACATTTGTGAACCAGCATGTGTGCATGAATGAGCCCACAGGAGCAAAGTCCAGGAGGCAGCATTTCCACCAGGCTGCAGGCTGAGTGCCCCCACTGTCCTGGATCCCTGGGGTCCAGGCTATTCAGGGAAAGCAGAGGGCCCACCCCTCTCTCTCCTACAATCCACTTTCATTTCATTGGAAAGGACTGGAGTTCGCTCTTACTTCTCCCTCACACACCAACTGAGGGGGCACTTGTATCAGAGAAAACTCAAGGGACCCAGCAGTCCTACCTCTGAGCCAGCCATGGCTCCCACTCTCCCCTGCAGGAGACTTCTCTCACCTCTTCTTCAAGAGAAATCTACTGCTTCTCACAATGAGGCCTTCCAACCAAAATAGTATTCCCGAGCTGTAACTGGTATTAGTCTGTGAGACTTGCTCCTTCTTTCCCCGCCCTGATGGGGAACAGCTCACAGTGAGAAAAAGAGATACCTGGGGCCAGCTAGGTGTTCCCCTCTGGCTGGCTTTCCACAGTTTTCCTCTTTTCCTCCCATCTAACTGACTTTTATCTGCCTGTTTTTGGCCTGAGAGGGGGAGCCCCTCCTTGGCTGGGATGCCCCAGTGTCTGGTGACACTATGCCTGCTCAGGTGTTCCCGCTCCCACATGAGAGGTGCTCTGTGAAGTACAAAGTGTTGAGGTCCCAGGCCAACCAACCTCACCAAGGCTGACACCCAGGTTATCAGAGCAAAATGATAGGCTGACTCAGGGGCCACAGCACTTGTGGAGCTGAGTGTGGGGGGGTCCTAAACCGGCTTTATGTGCTCCTGCTCTCCCTCCTCCGACCACCCAAACTGTTCCAGTAGATCAACTGAGGAGGAGTCCCAAAGAGCCAAAGAGTTGGAATTTACAGGGGAAGTGCTGTTTATAAAGAATCCGCAGGATATAGGATTACTGTGAGGGGGGAAAATAGAACCCAGAGGAGACCAAATTGCCACCAAGAGGCTCCTGGACTAAGAGACTAAGAGAAGAGTGTCTCATTATGGGACCCTCTCTCACAGACCGCACAACAGGGCCCACACTGAAAGACCCTATAAAGACAACATTGGACTGAAAGGCCAACCGAGAAGACCCAGCAAAGAGAACCCTCAAGGGGTGATCCAGTCATAAAGACCCCACTGAGAGAGCTCTGAGGTGCCAATGATGGAAAACCGGACACCACATAAAGGCTCAGACTGCCCAGCCTGAGGGGAGACAGACTAAAGAAGTGGGCTGGGGAGGGTTAGCAAGTAAATAAAGAATGAAGAATCAGGTAACCTACCCAAGGTGGATGGAGACCCCATGTCACTGCACCTTAGGTTTAGTTCACTCTCCCCCGTTGTGGCTGAAACCCCTGACTATAGGGGCCAGGAGCAAGGGAGGTATCTAGGCTTCTGAGAAGCATCAGTCTGGAGCTTTCTCTGAGGCCAAGGCTTGGGGGCTTGGTCCTGTCACCTCAACCTCACCCTCTCTCCTGCTCTTGGCTAGATCCTCTTAATCCCTAGGTGGCTTCCCTGCTGGGTCCCAGCTGTCCCACCTCCTCCCACTTCCCCCAGAGCAGGAGCCTCCATGGAAAGTGAGATAGAAAACCCCCAGGAAATCTCTGATCTTGGTTGGTCCTAAAGAACCTGCCTCTGGGCCCCACCTTTCCGAATTCTTGCTTCCATTCAAACCAAATCCTTCTTAGTGGGACGGGAAGGAAGGAGAGCAGGGGATTGGCCCCCAGGCGTACCCAGTCCCATGCTGATGCCACAGGGTCTAAAAACAGATTTTCCCCCAAACATCGGATGACATCAGCTTGGATGGTTCCTTTTACCTCACCTAGCCCTTCCTGCCAAGTCCTGGCATCTGGGGATCCACTCAGAGTCGACACCTGTCTGTTAGCCTGCCCTTCACTCAGCCCTGTCGGGACTACGTCTAGAGAACTATGGACTCTAGGGCTCTCTGTGCACCCACGGCAGCTTGTTTTCAGGATTGGTGGGCCCCAGGAGGGCCAAAGCCTCCAGCCTGCTCTGCTCCTTGGAGTGCATAGGAAAAATTGCCTCCCCCTACTCTTCTTCCCTACCCCTCTAGAAAGGAGAGCAGGTAACAAAATTCCCGTCAACAGCATTGAAATCCTAAATAAAGATCATTGAGTGCTGCTTCCTTTCAGAGGCACATTTCTGGTTTGAAATGGCCAAAATGCGTTTAACTTTCTTCACCTTGAGACTGTTCTCTGCTCAGGTCCTCAGATCTCCAGAAGGCCTACCCTAACACCAAGCCCAGCCCTCCAGGAATTGTAGCTGCTGCCCTAAGGAGTGATCTGCAGGGTGAATAGGGAGCCCTTGATTCACTCCATGCCCACATACCACTCACGGAGAAGAAACTGACTTCTGGAAAAGCATTTCCATCTCCTAGGTTTCCACCCCTGAGGAAAGGAGGGCTTGGTATCTGAATCCATGGGACATGGAACACAAAGGACGTATCTCTCACCACTGCCCTCTCAGATGGGAGCACTTATTCCAGGTTGCTCCTCCTGTGGGGTCCCACGGAGCTCCTGACCGGCACCTGCCCCCACTATGCACTGAGCCTATAGCATTGCCAAGCCCCACAGAGTATGTGGGTGGACACACCTTCACACATGGGGTCTGCTCCACCACTTCTCCCAACTCACGTGGGGACAGGTAGCCTTACCTCTGATACACAGGGACACCTACTTCCGCAATTCCTAATCAATACATGTGTGTCATGGCACCTGCCCCTGGTATGCCTCTGTAATTGCCCAGCCCCCACTCACTTCTAGGCAGCTCCCCAGCCCACCCCCAGACCTCACAGATGCCCACTTTGTCTCCACTTCATATAAATGCCTGGGACACCAAACACATAACATGTGTATACATGTATTTTCTTCACTTATGCACTCCCAGGTCCACACCCCTGGCTGAGAGAGTGAGCCATCCTTCTACAATCAGTGAACTGGGCAACTTCAATGAGAGACAACAACAGTTAAGCACACCCAAAGCCCACACATCTGCCACTCTCCAAGGCCTCCGAAGCCCTCCCACCTCTCAAATTCGTAGCCTCCACCTTCGTTCTTCTCCAAAGTCCCCCAAACATCTACCTGCCCACGCCCGCCCCCGGTGACCCGCTATCCACACTGCCCCCTTCTGGCCGCCGGGGAATAAGACCCCAGAGAACGGTGACCCTCTCCTTCACCCCTTTTTGCGCGCCGTGACACCTGTCAGAGCTCAACCCCTCCACCCTCACCTGTGTGCGTGAGTTCCAGATTCACCATCCTGCCCCAGGAAGGGCCAAAACCAGCGCCCCCCCAGGTCCCTCGCGTCGGCCCCAGCCGGGCCCCCTGGGAAGCCAGGGTCTCCTTCCTCCCGCCGCTGCCGCGGGAGCCACTCCCGCAGCTGTTGCCGCTGCCGTCCCGCGCTCCGCTGCTCCAGCCTGGGCAGCACTCAGAGCCGCCAGGATTGCCACACGCCCCAGGTGAGCACGCTGCGCGGGGCGGGGGCCGTCGGCCACGCCCCCTGGCAGGGCCGCAGCGCCTGGCCCCTGGCCCATGCAAAGCAGCGATTTGCATAAGGGGAGCTAGGAGCGTGGGGAGGGGGCAGGGGGTGCTACCGGGGCGGTTCCAGACCCTAAGGAACGCCTGTCTACCCCAACCTGGCCTGGGCCTCTAACCACCGCGCCCGCAGCGACCCAGACTCCTGATCCAGCTCACCCTTTTTAGGAACCCCTGGAGGACTACTCAGCTGGGGCCAAGCTTCTTTCTGGACAGGCTCCCGAAGTGTAAGCGCTTCAAGGAGCCTGGAGTGTTTGGAGAAGCCATGGGATGTACAGGAAAGAATCTGATTTTGGAATCCTATCTCTCAACCGTTTACCAGTTGTGTGACAGGAGACAAGGCTCTTCACCTCCCTGAACAACTTTTACTCATCTGTAAAACGGAGCAGGTGCGAATCCTAACGGGCATCTCTTTATGTGGATTTAGCAGGTGGCCAAGCTCACCAGCTCCCAAGCATCCTCACAACATCCTGGGACCTGATGGGGCCCAGCTTATTATCACGTTTTTCCAGGCGAAGACACTGCCTTTTGCCAGCTCCGCCCAGGTCCCAGGTTGCTCTGAGGTTCTATGACATGATTATGTGAAAGTTATTAACCAATATCAGGGGTTTGGGGGCAACCCTCATCTACAGAGCTAGGAGGTGACAAAATCACACAATTTCCTAGTGACAGATGGAGCCTGACTGGAATCAGGTCTCTGGACTCCCTTTCGATTGCTCTTTGCAGCCCCCACCACAGATCTGAGCTCCCACCCCCACACTTCTCCTCTGCTCTTCAGGTTGCAGTAAGTGGTGCCAAGGGCAAGGTACCACCTGTCTTGAAAGCGCAGAAAGCCATGTGTCAACAGGAGGAAAGGGCTTCGTCTTTCTTTCCAGAAGGTCTTCCTATCAACCTACCTTAGTTTCAAGTCCTATTTCCTGCTCACAGAACAGGTCCTGGGCTTTTCTGCAGTGTTCTTTCCACCTGATATGTTCATCCACCATCCACCCCAATAATCCCTATTATAATATCCAGCATTTATTGAACTTTCACTATGTGCCAGGCACTGTACTAACACTTTAAAGCATCCATCTTGTTTAGTCCTCATAACAACTTATAAATTGGACTGTCATTGTTTCCATTTTACAGATGGGGAAAAATGAGGCTTAACAAGTTCCACTTGTCTAATGATACCAGTAAGTAAAGCATTAGTGCTCGTATTCTAAAGCAATGCACTCTACTCCCTCTATGTAAAATTCAAATATCACTTTCTTTCTGAAGTCAGAAGGTATCCATCTGATATTTCACTAAATTACCATAAGACTTCAATGTCCTTAATAGCCCTTGTGGTGGGTTCTGTGGGAATTTTCTTATCCTACCCCTGGTTGTTAGCCAATTGGTGCGTCCACAGCACTGAGCACAGTGCTGGGTACACTACAGGTATCAGAAAGAG